TGAAATGAATGAACAGGCTCGAAATATGGTCGCACAAATGACTGCTGTGGCTGGGAAGGGTCCAGTTGACATCAAGGAATTTATAACTCAATATATACTAAGATCAGTTTGTCGTAAGTTTCAACCATTAATCCTTAAATACCTTTAAAAATGCAGACAAAGTATTTGAAACTCCTCTGGCATTGTAGCGTGTAAACAGAACAAACACGGCAATTAGTCTACTTTTAGCAACGTATTTTGTAAACATATTAGAAAATTCAACCAAAAAGTATAACTTTGCACATGTATTATGCGGTTTGTAGTTTATTTTATTTTGCTGACATGTGCTGATATGCCTGACTAAAATTTGCTAAAAAAATTTAATCCAAATTATAATCAGGCATGTGACGATAAGACAGTGCATGGTGTTTAAAGTTCAATTTGTATTTGTAGGAACTTCACTGGGATTGGAATCTAAACATCAAGATACAATCGACAATGGTTACGCGAAAGCGCTAGAAGAAATCTTGAGAATTGTAGGCTACCGTGCTTTAAATGTGCAAATACATCCTTCATGTATTTACAACTGGACGTCAATGAGAAGAAGAGAGTTGGAACTAGTCAAAATTGTTAAGAATATGATAAATCCTGTAAGGATGCATATGTTTTCCTACATGGCTTATTTTTTTCATATTTTGTCTCACAGTCATTTATAAAATTATATATTACAGATTATTCAAAAACGCAAATCTGAATTAAAATGTACAAAAATGTATAACTACGATAGTTCAACAACAGGTAAGATTATGGTGAGAACGCATTATTAATCTGTTAATAGAACTGTGACTGAGTCAAAGTACTATATCCAACGTACGTTAATAAGTTCTACGCGTATTTCGTGCTCAGCGACATCTATTTCATTCATACCAACTTTTACTTTCGCAACATTTTTAATTGTCTCTTGACAGCCTACATTACTTTATACTTCGTTGCACAGATATTCATATGTTTTGAAACACATTGAAACACATAACAATAGGTAACTTTTGCATAATAAATATTGAAGCTTTAGTTTCAGGTAAATTCAAACCTACGCTAGATTTGATGCTGGATTTGTCTAATGAACAAAACGTCCTCTCCGATGATGACATTAGGGCGCATCTAAATACTTTCGTAGCAGCTTCTTACGACACAACTTCAGCAATATTGCATAATGCGCTGATGGCGCTTGGATCATATCCTGATGTGCAAGAACGAGTTTATGAAGAGTAAGTTTTGCCTTACAAGATTGAACTTCCAATGAAGTTTTCTTTTTACGCCATTTGTTGCTTTTCCTTATGACATTAAGATATTTACATATCCTCTTAAATGAGCTGTAAGCATTTTACCGATAGAGAAGTCCGTTTATTGTCATGTTTGGGAGAGTCATGCTTTGGCATGAATGAACCAGTTCGGCTGGAGTGATACCACGGCCTTTCAGAAAACTGACATGAAAAAACGCTTACGTTGAGTTTTATCATGTGAATGAGGTTACCGAAAGCCCCATTACTACTTCTCTATCTCCCCAATCTCCGATTCCCAACAACCCTCAAATTCCTAATCCTCGGAAGGCCGGTTAACGAACCGTTGTTTCGGGTGTCCATGGGTGACACCAATTACTTACCATCAAGTGGTCCGTCTGCTCGTTTACTATTTTTATCTTATAAAACCTGTTTTCATCATTTTATAGGGTTCAAGACGTTTTTCAAAATAATGAGGAGTTGACGAAACACGATATGTCTAAACTTGTTTACTTAGAAGCTGTGATAAAGGAGGTATTGAGGGTATATGTCGCAGTTCCAATGGTGGCGAGAAAAGTTAATGCCGATATTGTACTGCGTACGTATTGTTATTTATTTACTCTACAATTTCTTATTTAGGCTCGATATAATTGACCTAAAGTATAATATCTAATTCCAGCGAAATATACATTGAGAGCTGGAAGTATATGTGTCCTATCAATATACGGCCTTCATCGTCACCCCTTGTGGGGACCAGACGCAAAGGAGTTCAAACCGGAGCGATGGCTGAATCCCGATACTTTACCTACTAACCCCAACGTATACGCTCCGTTCAGTTTTGGCAAGCGAAACTGTATTGGTATGATCACTTGAATTATTTGAAATAAGAGTCTTTATCTATCTATTGCAAAAGTGTTTCGTTCAGTAGACCCAGTGATTTTGTGACACGATTTTTGCAAGGTTGAAACCTCTATAGCTACATATAGGCAATTTTTCTTTGATTGTATCTACATTTTAAAGTAAAAAAATAATTGCTGTTGTGTTATTACAGGGAAACACTACGCCATGATGAGCCTAAAGACGTCGATAGCGCATGTAGTGAGGAAGTTCCGAATTACTGCTGATATCAATATTTTGAAGTGGAGTTACGAAATTATATTGAAACCTTCAACAACTCCTCTTGTCAATTTAACATTAAGGTTTTAAATAGTGTTTTTTTTAAATCACGATGAACTGGTTGCCCTTCCGAACAACGACAAAACGCTCTTTTTCACGACGCCGCAACGTCGCAACGCACCGCAACGCAAACTGCCGATTTTAGCGTTGCGGCGACGTAACGCGGTTATGTGTTTCGGCCCGTAAAGATGCATCGTCTAAAATAAACCTTTTTTATTTACGAAGATTTAATTGTTTTATTGCTGCATAAACATACCTTTACCGATATATGTGACGAAGAGGGCTCTCGCTCAACTTCGCCCACGCTATCCTCCGACATATGTACATTTTTTGTATGAATTTTTTATTCAAAGCAAAATTATATAACTTAAGCCTACAATGTTTTTGTATTTAATTAAAAAAATTAAGTTCTCAGGTCAATTAAATATTTTTTATTCAATTGAGCTTGCCTAAAATCATCAACTTTATGGCAATCGATTGTAACTCTTAATCTGGGCACAAATATGAGAGCACATTTAAGTGACAATGACGATAATAATTTCTCACAAAAAGTTCTAAAACTTGGAGACGGGAAATTATCGTCTCCGGTTGCAAACAGTCCCCAGGTATTGTTGGATAATGAATTGGGTCAAATCGTTCAGAGTCTAGAAATTCTTATAGACACCATATATCCGGACATACAAAATCTTACGGAGAGAAATTTCAATTACCTCTGTTCAAGAGCGATAGTGTCCCTGCGAAATGAATCGGTTATGAGATTAACAAAATTATTATGGAAAAAGTACCCGGTGAATTTAAATCTTACAAATCTATTGACACAGTATGCAACATCGAAGATACAGTGCACTATCCACAAGAATTTTTAAATTCCCTGAATCCTTCCGGCTTGCCGACACACGAACTACAATTAAATGTAGGCACTCCCGTAATGCTGCTGAGGAACCTATCCCTCCCAACATGTGCAATGGCACGAGACTTCTGGTGAAGGAATTGCGGGAGAACGTCATAGTAGCCAGTATAATCACCGGGGCCGCGGCCGGACAGCTCGCCTACATACCGCGGATCCCTATGATTCCTACGGACTTGCCTATACCTTTTAAGAGGTTAGTTACAGTTTCTTCTAAAAACATCATTTGCTCTCACAATAAATAAGTCCCAGGGTCAAACATTTTCGTTGGTTGGCATCGACCTAAGAAAATAACGCTTTTCTCATGGACGACTATATGTTGCCCTTTCTCGAGTGGAATCTCCTGATAATCAATATATTTTGTTGCCATCTACAAATACCACTGCCAACGTAGTTTACAGGGGAGCTTTTTTTTTGAGTAAGCCATTAAACACGCGTACGGATCACCTGATCGTAAGCAATCGGCATCGCCCATGGACATGGACACCAGAGGCGTTACAAGTGCGTTACCGGCCTTTTGGGGTTTAAGAATTTGAGGATTGTTGGGGATTCATGGATTGGAAAGATTGGGGATGGTAATTGAGCCTCCGGTAACCTCACTCACACGATGAAATAACGTAAGCGTCGGTTTTTTGTAAGATTGTGGTATCATTCTTTTATTTTAAAACCTTCCTGATCTCATACAATGCACCTATTTAGAAAGTTCTCAGAATAAGGGCATCACTAGATTATGTCTTAATAGTAACATTGATTCTACGTATTATTAGTGTTAACTTTTATTTCTCACGAGTAACTTGCACTGTAAAACTTATGGCGCCATGGAATTTATGATAGTTATTGAATTTATGAAAACTTTTAACTTTTCTTCTAAATCATCAATCAAAAATATAAAAACTAGCGGACCCAACAGACGTTGTCCTGCATATCCACTTGAATGTATAAACAAAAATTCATTCAAATTAGTTCAGCTGTTTAGGATTAATAACCTGAACATCGACTGCAGCGCCATCTGCCGGGCTGATTTGTGAATCTAAACCATTCCCAGATCCCCTTGAACACACACACAAAATTTCATCAAAATCGGTCCAGTCGTTTGAGAGAAGTTCAGTGACATACACACTCACAGAATAATTATATATATAAAGATTATAAATTGCATGATTCGAAACACTAGAACGAGATTTGCTATCAAAATAACGAAAGGCGCTCGTACACTCATGTAGGTAATATTTACCATAGGACTTATAAAAAGACTACTGTTAACAACTTAACATCACGCTTTTTGTCGTCGAAGGGATAAGTAGAGGTGCATATTACGGAACTTAATGCCACTGTACAATGAAACACCCACTTTTCACTATTCATGAGTCCCACCTATGTAATAGTGGGTGAGCCTATTGTCATAATTATATCAGGCACAATTCAGCACAGACTCTGTGCTACAACTGAGATTTATTAAAACTCAGTAATACTTTACCTGACCCGGGATTCGAACCCAAGACCCCTTGCTCGGTACTCGTACTTGCGACCACATGGCCAACAAGGCAATCCTTGTAGCCTGAGGGGTACCTAGTACCAAATAAATTAAATAAGGTAATAACGATAAAGAACAAAATACACAGCGACATTTATGTAAACGATTTTAATATGTACTTAAATTAATACCTTATAGTGAACTCCATAAGAGCTGGGTTTGCTGGTTTCAACACTAGTTCGTATTTCCACTTTATATTACTGATGTCACCAGAAACGTGGAGCTTCCTCACGATATGTGCAAGTGACGTCTTTAGACTCATCATGGCGTATTGTTTCCCTGGAAAAATATAAGAAATAAATCGATTAATACTTGAACAAACGTTTTATACTGTAATCGTGTGATACATTATTACATAAGGCCGTTGGCTGTAGATCCTTTCAAATGGATTTAGGGGAAGCCTATCTTCAGTTCAGTAGTATGGAGGAAACCAAAAACATCTCCTATAAACTACGTTTAAAAAAACCGACTTCCACCCCTTCTTATTTGAAATCGGTTAATTAATATACATAATAAAACCTTCCCCTAAATGTAACAAACAGTGTCTTAGTTATTACTGTTTTTCCTATCGTCCTATGTACCTCCAATTTATTTATACATGTATTCTCCTGGGTACTGTGTGTGTTGTGCATAAATAAATAAATAAATAGACAATTTTATGGAAACCACATCAAAGTCGGTACCGTCCAAACATACATTCACACCGTAAAAAAAATTGAGTAGGTACCTTCTTCTTTTTTTTAAGTTGGTTAATGAAAAAGCCATTGGTTGGCGTTAGTTAATGACATGACTGTCATGTACAATGTACATAGGTAAATCATCTTATATCTAAAAAAATTAAGCCCTTTTTCCCTTAGACACGGTATCACGCGAGAATGGTTGGACCGATGTCACTAACTGTTTTTTGTTGTATTTGTTATTATTAGGAGAAGGTTTTTAAAATAAATATTCCTGAAAATCCTACGGGAACGAAAGAAAACGGGATTGCGCGTACGAAGTCGCGGGCAGAAGCTAGTCAGAAATAAAAATGACTTACCAATACAGTTTCGCTTGCCAATACTGAACGGAACGTATACGTTGGGGTTAGTAGGTAAAGTATCGGGATTCAGCCATCGCTCCGGTTTGAACTCCTTCACATCTGGTCCCCACGAGGGATGTAGGTGAAGGCCATATATCGACAAGATACATGTACTTCCAGCTCGTAAGGTGTAATTTGCTAAAATTATAGAAGAAAGGAGATATTATAATGGTATCAGGAAAACTATATTTTTGTTTATTTTATGAAACAGAAATAAAACACGCACTCAAGTGAGTCATGCTTCGGCACGAATGGGCCAGCTTCACTGGAGTGATACCACGGCGTCACAGAAAACCGACGTAAAACACAGCTTGCGGCGTGTTTCGTCGTGTGAGTGAGGTTACCGGAGTCCCAAGTACCCCCTCTCCCTTCCCCAATCTCCCCAATACCTGAACCCCCAACAATCCTCAAATTCCTAATTCCCAAAAGGCCGGTAACGCACTTGTAAGGCCGCTGGTATTCCAGGTGTCTACAGGCGACGCCGATTGCTTACAATCAGGTGATCCATATGCTCTTTTACTGCTTAATCTTATAAAAGTCATCGTTAAGATTTATTCTAATTAAAGAAGCGTACAATTTTTTTATTTACTTTTTTTTCAAGCTTCCGAATGATAATGTCGGTATTTGGAAAAATAACAAAAGGAAGAGTAAATGCATACATACGCAGTACAATATCAGTGTCCAGTTTTCTTGAAACTATAGGAACTGTACTGTATACTCTCAATACCTCCTTTATTACTGCTTCCAAGTACACGAGTTTTGATAAATCAAGCATAGACAAATCTTCACTGTTTTGAAATACTTCTTGGACCCTGTAATGTAGAGAAAATGTTTCAAAATTTATTTTTATGCTAGTCGTTGCCAGGGGTATATAAATCGCTAATCGTTTTTACAATAACTATCGTGATACATACTAAACTAAAAATCGCGAGTTACTCACGTGAATATATTAAGGAAACCTCTACTAGTTTCGAGCCATAGTGGGGCTGTTCCTCATGAGCAGCTCGCGATAGCGGTGCAGCGATGTCACGTAGCTTACTAACTAACGTCGGCGCTTGCGTTGGTGTTGTTACTTAAATTGCGAGCCCATCTGCTGCTCATGAGAAAGAGCCCCTCTGTGGCTCAAAAGTAATAGAGCCTTTCTCAGTATATTCACGTAAATAACCTGCGATTTTTAGTTAAATCGCTATTACATGCTTATGCGCAATATTTCATTATGATTCATTTAAAAGAAAAACATTACATATATTCAGGTACATAGTTAAATACCATGCTTCGGCACGAATTTATAAACGAATGATACCACGGCCTCACAGAAAACCGACGTGAAATCACCAACAATACTCAAATTCCTCATCTCCAAAAGGCCGGTGCGCACTTGTAACGCCTCTGTTGTTCTGAGTATCCTAGGCGATGCCGCTTGCTTACCATCTGGCGATCCGTCTGCTCGTTTACCGGATTATCGCATAAAAAACAGTTACTAACATATAACAATAGTAGGATAGAAGTAATTAGACTGCCTCGTTGACCAGCACCTCTGCCTACCCCTTCGGGGATAAAAGGCGTGATGTTATGTTATGTTAGGATAGAAGTACAAAGTTTACTAAAATATGTAAGCAGTTATCAAAACTTACTCTTTATAAACTCGTTCCTGTACTTCAGGATATGTTCCAAGCACTAACAATATAGTTTGTAGTACCGTTGATGTTGTATCGTAAGAGGCTATCACAATAGTATCCAGATGCTCTTTAATCTCATCGTCAGTAAAGGCGTGTTCTTCATCAGCTAAATGCAGTAAAAGATCTAGGACTGGTTTAAACCTACCTGAAAAATTTAGGAAGATAGTATTACATTTGTTAAGTATTTTAATCCTTATTATCTCTGTTTTTATAATAGTAGATGTAGGCTGCGCGACATCGCCGCGACCGCGCACGCTGCTCATGAGGAACAAGCGCTCTGTGGTTCGAAACTAGTAGAGCTTTTCTCATTATATTTCTCTGACTAACCTGCGGTTTTTAGTTAACTTATTATCTCTACTAGCTTCTGCCAGCGGCTTCGCCCGCGATCCCAGGGTTTAGATTTTAGATTATAATCTACCTCTGTTCCGAATTTCATTCCGGTCCCTTCAGTCGTTTTACTATGACTGAGTAACAAACATACACATAAACTGACATATTTTCATTTATAATATCGAGTCACGCTAATTTCAACCATTCGCCTTTCAGTTACAGCATAAAGTCTATGAATGAGTATTGTAAACGTTAGAGTAGACAAATACAATCAGAAATCACCGAATTGCCAAGCTATCGGGAGTTTCACGTGTTATTGTGAGTCAACCATAAAAGATAGACATATGCTGTCGAGGAATATTTTTTATATAATTTTAAGGAGAATATTTCCGTCATACATGATTTCTATGTAGCTTTAACCTATAAGACTGCACACGCAACGGAAGCTTAAAAAATGGAGTAACTTCTCCCGTTTCCCCAATATTTCCCTTCACTGCTCTGCTCCTATTAATCGTAGCGTAACGAAAAGTATACTTTAACCTACCCAAGAGTATGAAGAATAATTGTGCCAAATTTCGTTAAAATCCGTCGATTAGTTTTTGTTTCCATAACGAACATACAGACAGACAGACAGACAGACAAAAATTTTACTGATGGCATTTTTGGCATCAGTAGCGATCCCTAACCACCTCTTGATAGTTATTTTTTAAATATATTTTATGTACAGAATTGACCTCTCTACAGATTTATTATAAGTATAGATTAACAGGAACAAAGTTAATTAATAATGAAGTTACATTTGGTGAGAATGACAGTAGATATTTTATTATGGCCTTTATAAAACTAGTTTCTGTCGGCGTCTATTCCCATGTTTCCTGAGATAAAAAGTAGCCTATGTGTTATTCCACACCATAATCAACTCCTGTTCTAATTTTTATCCAGATCCTTAGAGCTGTTTTTGCGTGAAGGAGCAACAAACAAACGTACCAACTATCGCGTTTATAATATTTGGTAGGATAGTTTGCAGTTTTGGACTAATAGAATATTGATGTTACAAAATTTAATGATAGACGACAGACGTTGTTGTTGATATTGGTAATTTGGTCCAATCGACCCACGGATCAGGAATCCAAAGTCACGAACTACCGGGGCTCCGCCTCGAAGCATGGGTACGAACAAGGTGGGTTTTAGTTAGCCTCGCCTTACCCAAGATGGGCGAACTCTTTAGATAATTATTCCTCTCAAAAAAGACACACCGGGGGTAAGGTTGATTAATGCTTGAAATTAATTTGAGGAACACCACCCAGCCCAGGATGTTGACAAAAAGGTGGACACAGTCTTTTGAAACAACGACTGTGGCACCTGGCTACTAAAGACTTACGAAGGATACCCGTCATTTTCTTAAAGGTCTTCTTAAAGACGTAAGGTGTCTGCACACAGCGGGGGTGGCGCGGCGGGACGGGACGGCGACGCGACACTGAAGAGTTGTAATGTACTAGATATTACGGTTGACGCCACACAGCCGTCCCGCTCGACGCGACGGTAACCGACGGCTCTGTATGGCGTCGTCGTGTGCAGAGACCTTAAGTCTAGTAACGTGGTCCGTAACCCATTATACACATAAATAACGTGCATTTTGGTGCTTCAATAATTTATAAGTAACATTAGGTCTGCCTTTTTTTTAACGTCCTTGCACCCAGCCTTGACGGAATTCCCACAAATAAACTCAGTCCTAAGGAATAACTGAGGGAAAGAATATGTATTGCTCCTAATTTTTATAAACTTGTCTTACCTGTTATTGAATCAACGCCATTATTCGTAACAAAATTGTTCGCCTTTAAATCTGACCTCCGTTTTTGAATAACCTAAAACAAAGTAACATATTATCATGTAGTAGCAAACTATTGTGTTTGCTGCATAATAATTTTACGGAATTAATTATTATGTTCTTCAAGCCATCGTAGAGGCTCATATTCACGGCTTGAAACTAGTCAAGAATAGAAAGTTTCAATATAAATTCTACGGAAATAAATATGTTGGCAATTAATATGAATTTCCTAGCGCTAAATAATTTTAATATGTGCGGTCAAAGGTCAAAAATCCTCTGACACCGTAAGACTACTGTGGGTTGCGCTGCAGCGTTTATACACTCATGCACACGCATATTTTTATCCGTGTGCGTACGCGAGCATGTTTTTATGCGTACGCAGGCGTTTTTATGCACATTAATAAATGAAATTACTTACGCATTGCCGTGTAACATCACTTACGGTGGCAGTGGACTTTTGGCCTTTGACTGTGCATTACGGCTTCACACATTTTAACATTAAAAAATTGGGACTAGGTTATATACTCTCATCTTAAAAATAAATGTGATAGGAGTATATACGTACAGTATTAATCATGTTCTTAAGATCTCTTATTAAGTCGTCTTCTTTCTTTTTCCAAGCAGTTCTTTTATATATAAACGGTGGATATAACCAAGGATGAATGCCACGATAGCAGAATATGTTCAAAATTTCCTGAATCGCATTTGCATAATTATTGTCGATAATATTTTGATCTTTAGCTTCCAATCCTAATGACGTTCCTGTAAAAAAATTAACCGTGAAAATAACGATACATACCAAAGCATTATAATCATATTCATAAGTACATAGTTTATTTTTAATCTGATCGGAATCGGGCCCCCGGTAGCTTCACTCAACGCAAGCGTTGTTTCACATCGGTTTTCTGTGAGGCCGCGGTATCACTCCGGTCGAGCCGGCCCATGCGTGCCGAAACGTGGGTCTCCCACACTTAAAATATTAAAGGTACCTACGACAGACGATCCTTAAGACATATTTAATCACAAATTGGTGAATATCAACTGATCCACTTTGAGCCACAGCAGTTAACTGTGAGACGAGATTTCGAGCTTGTATGTTCATTTCGTTTAGAAATGTGTTTAAAACTTGCTGATTGAACGCTGGATGTAATAGCTTACGATGTGTCTTCCATGTGGTCGCTGAAATTAGTAAATTATAAATGAGTATCATTGTGGAATATCGTGGTGACCCGAAGGTTAAGATGCTTCTCATGCGTGATAGTACTTGTTCGGCCGGCCAATAGTAAGTACCATTCCAAGTTATATGTACTTTCTAAGAAATTTTAGACACCACTGATAAACGGTGAAGAAAAACATAATAAGAAAACTAAAACGAATATATTTGTATTTGCAAAAGGCTCATCGGATGACATTATCCCTTAGGGCATTTTTTTTAATCCGAGAAGTGGAGACGTAGTGCTGTGTGATACATAACAAACAATTTGTGTTTTCATGCGATAGCTAAGTCGATCTACTTATTTAAAACGTTTTACGTTTTTCAATACTGGCAGATGAAACTGCCTCGAATTTTGCAGGCAGCGGGGCGCCGCTGCGCCGCTGTGTTTCCGAGAACCGGTTTATTTCATTGTACGCATAAAACCCCGCGTAAATTACTTACCATCTGACGTTAATAATCCTTTTTGTACAAAATCCTTTCCAATTTCATAAAAAAATCCTTTCTCCAAACACGTGCTAGCTACGACACCCGTGTCGTTTGGATCACTTACAACTGCAATGAAATTAAAATGACAAATACAAGATAGTAAAATATCCCACTATATCTCTTACGAAAAATTCACCCATTTTGTTCATACAAAAGTAGGGTGTAGTGGAGTGAGTGGAGAGTCAGAAATTAATGAGAATAATAAAAAATAAGGAAAATATAATTTTTTGTTAAGTACCAAGAATTAATAATGAATTAATTAATTACCATATATAATATGAGAACCGACGTTCAGACGAATTAATCCACCGTTTTCCAAAGAATAATCACAAACCCGTTTGATGAAGCTCCATATGTCTGAAAACATACAATTTAGTTGTGTCACTTAAACGTCAATGGGGATGATGACAGGGTATGAAAATTAAAAATATAATTAGTCCGTAAGTTAGGTAATGAAAAAATATTAGACACGTATTTTTTTATTTTGTCGTATAATAAAACAATACTTGGATAAAACGAATCAAAGTTTAGGAGTGGGGGCTAAAACGTCATTTCTTAGTATAAAATGTACTGAGAAGTGACGTCACGCGAGATTTCAAATCAATATATCTTCGAAACTATTCGTTTCTGTGAGAAAATAAAAAATACGTGTCTAATGTTTTTAAATAATCTATCAGACGGACATTAAAATAAAAATTAGTCGTCTACCCTATTACAAATGCTTTTTCATTTTTTTTTTAATGAACTTTCGAAGTTTTTCAAGGGCTATGCTCGCAGTATCTCTGAAGGATAGGATCCGTAACGAGGTGAACCGACAGGGAACTAAAGTTACCGATGTAGCTCAAAGGATTAGCAAGCTGAAATGGCAGTGGACCGGTCACATTTGTCGAAGAACCGATGACCGCTGGGGTAGACGTGTTGTGGAGTGGAGACCGCGTCTAGACAAACGTAGTGTAGGGCGCCCTCCAGCTAGGTGGAGTGACGATATACGTAAAGTGGCTGGTAGTGGTTGGATGCGTAGAGCTAAAAACCGAGATCAGTGGCGTGCCATTGGAGAGACATATGTCCAGCAGTGAACGAAAACAAGCTTGTTGTTGATGAAGTTTTAAAGTTAACATTGAATCTGTCATCTGTCCTCCAGTGGGCTACTAATAAGGATAATTCATTTGTAGTCTATGAAAAAGAGTATGTTATTGTGTCAGAGTTATTTTAATAATATTATTGTAATACAGGTTTTATAATAATACTTGCTATATCCTGCTTATAGTATATAATATGTCTTAAAAAAGATATGGCAATTGTACCTACCTACATATATTATAACATAATTGAATTGTTTATTTAACTCGTCAAGTACCGGTTTTATAGACACAATTAAAGAACAATAGGTCGCGGTCACCGGTGACCGCTTGGTGTTTGACAGTTTAATAAGCGTCTCTCGCCATCAAACATTAGTTTTCATTTTTAGATTGAAGGCCACTCCTATGCAAAATTTAACAAAGTTTTGTTTTATTTAAAAAAACCTTGTCGTGAAGATGAAGTCAATGTCAAAATCCTTCCAACATACCTACATGCGTAGTTCTTCTCCTATAGGTAAATGCTACACTCTCGATATTTATTGTAGTGATATTTGGATAGTAATCCTAAATCACAATATTTAGCTAGTCTATAGTATAGCGTACTCACAAAACATCACGCCTTTTATCCACGAAGGTAGGCTGAGGTACTCATTACGGCACTTAATGCCATGAACAATGTAGCACCCACTTTTCACTATTTATGTTACGAGTCCCATGTAATAGGGGGTGAGCGTATTGTCATATACCGGGCACATTTCTAGACTCCGTGCTACTACCTACTGAGGTTTTTTTTAAAAACCCAGTAATACTTTGCCCGACCCGAGAATCAAACCTGAGACCCCTTGTCCGGCAGTCGCACTTGCGACCACTCGGCCAACAAGGCAATATTCCATAGTATAGCGTAAAAATAAAAATTATATTATAATTAATTATTACTTGATAAATATTGCGATACATATCGAGCGTAGAGCATTCACCATACAGTGGTTCATTCAATGATGACGCAATATTAAACAGTTCACCTTTCACCGTGTGCGTTATAGGTGTCCTTTAGGTCTGGATTGTCATGATTGAAGATCAACGTGTCAATATCCTGATATTAATGAAAAACAACAGAATATACTAGTAACCTATAAAAACAGTTGTATAGAATGCTTATGGGTAGACGTGTTCCATCGTAGGCCGTATCATCGCTTACTACCAAGCGAGATAGTGAACAATCGTGGACCCATCACATAGTAAATGAAAATATAGTTTAAAAAAATTAAATAAATTACCATTTCGATATCCTAACATGGCAATGACATGCCCAATGATCGGCAGTTCACCAGGAAACGACGGAGGTGAACGGGGATGACGCTTCCACCAGTACCATAATAACACAGCTATAACACCAAAAAGCACGACTAACATTGTTATATTTTTTTATTTAACACAGACTTATAAAACAATGTTAAGGAACTGACTGCAACGTACACAGTAAGCTATTATTTATACTTTTCTCGAATCAAGGATATAGAGGTATAGTTTACTGGTTTTATAAAAATAAATTTTAAACATATGTATACAAGAGTTTAAGTCGTACTATTATTATATAAATCTGTTGCTCTAGTGATTTTTATTGTTTGCTATATTTTTCTTTGCAATTTCAGAAAAGGCTCAAAAATTGATGGAGCCTTCCTACAGTATACTTTTGTAGTAATATATCATGATAATAATTATGAATTCCATATATTCATTTAAAATTCTCTAAAAATATAGAAATAGGAGCCGAGGGATCATGGTGCAAGCTACTGGTGGTTAGGGCTCCAGTGACAGAAATCTCCTCACGATATGTACCGTTTCAAGTGAAACTGCTTTCTGTATCAGGCCCTTGATCCATCCACCTAACGTCAGCCTCCTAAAATGGATTTCGAGGCTTTTAGGGATTAACCCATTGGCCGACACGACTATCGGCACAAAGATAGCCGAATCCACACTCCACAAGTCAACAACCTCGTGAGCTAAGTCTAGATATTTTATTTGTTTATCTTTCTCAGCTTTCACGAGATTCTCGACTAATGGAATGGTGACATCGATTTTTATCGTGGGGTGCATTTGTCGGTCTATCACCACAATGTCAGGTTTATTGGCTGCAATAGTCCTGTCAGTGATGATAGACCGGTCCCAGTACAATGTGATATGGTCATTTTCACGAAACTGGGTCGGGCACATACTTTTAGTACGGTGCCTTAACTCAACAAGTCAAATTCCAGTATGTACGGGGTTCGCAAAAGGTCTTTGGTTATAATATATCGTAGGATATGATTATAGTATGAAACTAGCTAATTGGAAAAATCGTAAGCAAATGCCCATAAATATACGGCCACTGCCACCAAACGCCTCTTCTCACACGGAGAAGTTTCGAGCATTAATCACCACGCTTACTCAACACGGATTGGCAACTTCAAACTTATAATTATTAGAAATTTTAAACCCAGGATTCCTCACGAAGTTTTCTTTCACTGTTTGTCAGTGGTGTCTAAATAATTTTATAATATCCTAGTTGTTCCACGCGAAATTGTCCGCGTATTACGTAATGTATTTTTTTAATAAGTCAACCTCAAAATTTGCTTACATGATTGTATATAATCAGAATATGTAAGTATGACGGATAAAATAAATAGAAACAGTAAAAAATCAATTTATTTTAAGAATATTATCACAGTAGCGTGATTTACAAAGGTAATATCATAATAATAACAATATCATCTACCTCCACATATTTATTAATTATTTTAAGTACTATATTTAATATCTTTTTAATCTATGATACAGCCTTTTTGGTACAACCCTATGACCTTAATTTTAATTGGATATGTTGATTTGTTACAGGTTTCAAAACTACATCGAATTCACATTCTACATTATGGATGCTCCCAGAAATGTGATATTGTCGTACTATGTGTGCTAATGCGGTTTTCATCATCAGCATCCCGAACAATTTTCCTAAAAAGATATAGAACAATGTTTAAATGTTGTATAGTTATAGGTACAAAGAATTTATATTCTTTGAAAGTGCGTAAAGCAATAATGTTAACGCATTGTAAGTCTTATTGGACAATGTTGACCAACGACTTTAGTAGAGGACTTTTCTTTAACAGTTTCCTATCAGCGACCAAAGGCATATTTTTGTAATAACTATCGTGAGACATACTAAATTAACTAAAATCGCGGGTTACTCATGTGAATATACTGAGAAAAGCTCTACTAGTTTCGAACAGAGGGGTTCTTCTTCGACCGCGCAGCTCACTGAGCTATGTGGTTAGAAACTAGTAGGCGTTGTCTCAGTAAATTCACGTGAGTTACCCGAGATTAATCAGATCATTAATCAGACATTTCTATAAGTGGTCCAATTTACATTGAACCGCTAATTACAAACTCATGTTTAAAGACAAAGAACAGAATTAAGAAGTCAGTATAATAATTACCTATGCAGTTTCGTTTGCCAATACCGAAGGCAGCAAAGAGGACGGGATTATCAGGCAAGCGGCTGGGATCCAACCAGCGCTCTGGTTTGAATTCATTAGCATCGGGACCCCAGAGCGGGTGACGGTGAAGAGAGTGCACACCAATTATACCAGTGGTGTTGGCGCGTACTGTACAGTTTTCTGAAATTAAATCAATCAATCAATCAATCAATCATTTATTATCTATATGTATAAAAGAAAGTCGTGTTAGTTACACCACTTATAACTCAAGAATGGCAGAATAGATTTGGCTGAAAATTGGTAGGGAGGTAGCTTAGAGCCAGAAGACCGACGTAGGATAGATAGACCAAAATTTTCTTTTTACTTTTTACCGAAAATCACGAACAGGGACGGGAAAAAATGGAATTACGCATACGAAGTCGCGGGCAGAAGCTAGTTTGTAATAAATGAGATAAAGTCTATGTTAATACAAAGTTTTTGGAAATATTTGAAGGGCAAGATAGTTAAAATGCGAAAGGAAAAAGAACTTGTATATTGTCTATCTTAGATATAACATAACATAACATCACGCCTTTTATCCCCTAAGGGGTAGGCAGAGGTGCACACAGAAGTAACACCCATTTTTCACTATTTATGTTATGAGTCCCATGTAATAGGGGGCGAGCCTATTGCCATATGCCATTTCCAGACTCCGTGCAACTACTGAGATTTTTTTTAAAAACCCAGTAATACTTTGCCCGACACGGGAATCGAACCCGAGACCCCTTGCCCGGCAGTCGCACTTGCGACCACTCGTCCAACGAGGCAGTCAATGTATAAAAAATGATATTGTCTATCTTAGATATACTTGGATATATAAACAAAAAAGCACCGATAATTTTACACAAATCCATACTAATGTTATGAGTTTAGCTGATCGAATTTACTGTCTCAAAGTCAGTCAGAACAACCAAAACGATTTGGAAACATAATGTCTTTGTTTTGGTTTCTTCAAAATTATGGTTAATATTCCCATGTGAATATTCCTACGTATGTTAATTGTCAATGACATTAAAATGTATTATTACAACTAGCGACCCGCCCCGGCTTCGCACGGGTGCAATATGCATGCATTATACATATAAACCTTCCTTAAGAATCACTCCTTCTATTAAAAAAACCATAACAGCGCCATCTATTGATTTCTTACTCAACCCAGTCGAAAGGTATCGACATCTGTTAGAATCATTTGGAGTTAACAGATAATTGTGACTGTCGAATAATAACGGACAAATAATTAGCAATAAATTAAAATTGCGACTATAATTTGAGATTTAAACTATCCTATCTCTCATGTTGGATCGAACTACACATGGTGTGCGAATTTTATTATAATCGGTTAATTGGTTTAGGAGCCCATTGAGGACAAACATTGTGACACGAGATTTATATATATTTTATAAGATAAGATAAGAATGTAAAAATACTTACTCAATTTAACATCCACGTCAATTTGCCTGGCCACAATTGGAACAGCGGGGTATAGTCTCATTGTTTCTTTCATAACTGCTTCTAAGTATACGAGTTTTTGTAGGTCGTGTTTTGAAAAATCGTCGTCTTTGTTTTGCAATACTTCTTGTATCCTACAAAATATTTGTTTATTAGTCGCGTGATACTTATTAAGCTTGATTATTTTTTATGTCATAGACGACAATGGCAGACGACATATAACACCTACTTTTCACTATTAATGTTATAAGTCCCATGTAATAGGGAATTAGACTATTGCTATTATACCGGGCATAATTCCAGACTCTGTGCCACTACAGACAGTTATTAAAATAAATCCAGTAATACGTTACCCGACCCGGGAAACGAACCCGAGACCCCTTGCTCGGCAGCCGCACTTGCGACCAATTGGTAATAGGGTAGATGCCTCATTTTTATTTTAATGTCCGTCTGGTAAATTATTTTAAATCATTAGACACGTATTTTTTTATTTTCTTATAGAGACGAATACTTTCGACGATATATTGATTTGAAATCCCGCGTGACGTTACTTCTATGTATGTACATTTAATAGAAATGACGTTTTAGCCCCCACTCCTAAACTTTGATTCGGTTTATCTAAGTATTGTTTTGTTATACGACAAAATAAAAAAATACGTCTGTAATACTTTTTCGTTACCTAACTTATGGACTAATTATATTTTTATTTTTCATACCTTGTCATCATCCCAATTGGCAATAGCAAAATTAGTCCTTTAAATAATGTAACTTACTCATTATATATTCGGTTCTGTACTTCTGGATAAGTTGCAATCACCAATAGTATGAAGCTTAAAGCTGACGATGTTGTATCATATGATGCTGCTACCAATGTATCTAAATGTTCTCTGATGTCATCAACTGTGAATACATCTTGCTCATGGGACATTTGAAGCATCTGATCTAGAACTGGTTTGAATTTTCCTGGAAAAAAAATGTCTTTATAATTTCATGGAATAGGGGGCAAACGAGCAGACGGATCACCTGATGGTAAGCGATCAGCGCCGGCCATGGACACCCGCAACATCCGAGGTATCGCAAGTGCATTGCCGGTTATTTTATTGAATGTTTACAGGGCATATCGGTTCGGTCGACGGCAGCAGTTCATTTGACATTACAGTAGGCACATTTAGTTGCGTTTAATATCTAGTTCACGAAAAGGTTTTAAGAGTAAATATAATTTATACTAGCTTCTGTCAATGGCTTTGTCCGCGGTCTCGCTGAATAAAAAATAGCCTTTATATTATTCTAGACATTGACCGATCCCTGTTCCAAATTTCATGTCGGTCCCTTCAGCTGTTTTGATGTGATGGATAACAAACAAACACACGAATTATCCTTTATAATATTCAGAATTAACTAAAGTCATAATTACCGGGTGTATCGTCATAATGCGTAGTTTCTATTTTAGTCTTCATCTCTGATTTTCTTTTTAGTATAATCTGAAAAATAAAAAAAAATCTATACTACACATTTTTTTTTAATTTAACCTCTAGTATGTTGGAGCGTAGATCTTCACGGGACACAATGCGTTTTCCATTGTCTCATATATCGATAGACAAGAGGTTAATTATGTATCTTGATGTGATATAAGTAACGCCATCTATGATGGTTTACCATAACTAAACTGTTGCTTGTCATATTATATCTGTGGTCATATACCTACCTAACTTTGAAGTAATGAATTGCAAATTAGAAACCAATTAATCATTTAAAACCAACACGTTTTTTTAATAAACTGTTGAATATTTTATTTAAATTTATGTTTAATGAAGGTCAGAATTGTATACCGTTTACTTGGTACAACGTGTTTGATGAAAAGCAGTATCGATGTTTGAAGTAATCGGTCAGAAAAACCTCACACTTTTTTATAATAAAAACTATTAATGTGTTAAAACATATACTTACAGGATTCATAATATTCTTCAGTGTTGTCGTTAATTTATCTTGTTTTCGTTTCAATGCACTCCAGTCGAATATACAACCAATATGCAGCCATACTTTTTGGAACCTATCACAGTACAGAGCCAACAAATTTTCAATAGCCACCGCATAGTCTCTGTCTATTTGCGTTTGTTCTTGAGCTGTTAGACCTAATGAAGTTCCTGAAATATTAATAAATGATTTTAAGTACATACGGTATTCATTGAAACGGCAATGAAACCGACAATGGTTATTCTTACCCATAAATTAAGTAAAGTTAAGAAAGGAACCATATCTTTTTTATAATAACTATCGTGAGACATACCAAATTAAGTAAAAACGCGGGTTACCCACGTGAATATACTGAGAAAAGCTCTGCTAGTTTCGAACCACAGAGGGGTTCTTCCTCATGAGCAGCGTGCGCGGTCGCGGCAACGTCGCGCAGCTCACTGTGTTTCACAACTAGTAGAGGTTTTTTCAGTATATTAACGTGAGTAACCCGCGTTTTTACTTAATAAAGGAACCATATCTGTCATTTTTATAAACTAAAATAAACTGCTCATGAGGAGGACAGAGGGACCTCTGTGACTTGTAACTAGTAGAGGTTTTCTCAGTATATTTACGAGAGTAACTCGTAATTTTTAGTTAACTTGTTATGTCTCACGATAGGTAGTTATTTAAGTGTGGGAGAGCCATGCTTCGGCACGAATGGGCCAGCTCGGAGTGATACCACGGCCTCACAAAAAACCGACGTGAAGCAACGCTTGCGTTGTTTTTCGTCGTGTGAGTGAGGTTATCGGAGGCCCAATTATCCCCCTCTCTAGTCTCCCGAATCCTCGAATCCTCCACAACCCTCAAATTCCCTATTCCCAAAAGGTCGGTAACGGACTTGTAACGCCTTGGTGTTTCGGGTGTCCATGGGCGGCGCCGATTGCTTACCATCAGGTGATCCGTGTGCTCATTTACCGGCTTATGCTATAAAAAAATAAAAACATAAATACTTACGGCTAATAGTTGATAGCGTAAACGTAATTAAATAGTGTCGAACATCAAAAGGTTCTTGTCCAACTTCACTCTTCAAATTTGCAACGAGATTTCGAGACTGCACATTCATTTCATCGATGAAGGTATTCAACACTTGCTGGTTGAATGCAGGATTTAATAATTTACGATGATTTTTCCAAACAGAAACTGTAAAGAAGATAAATATACGTTTTCTTTCAAGACTCATAATAAATATATAGGTCTAAATTATTTGTTAAAATGATTGAGGTAGTCGTAATAAAGAAATTAATTTGATGTAGGAAGGTCGTCAACCTCATGGTCAATGGTTAATGCGCGGCTTAGATTAGACAAAGCTGTTTGTTTATAATAATATGTTGAAGTTGAACCTCCTTCATATATATGTATATGTTACACATTTAAAAAATTGTCTATAGCTCCCTGCAATTGCTTGTGTTAAAAATCAGTGAAACATCCGTGTAAGTGAAGTTACCAGAGGCCCAGTGACCCTCCAGGTAAACACAATATCTCTATTCTCCGAATCCTTAATCCATAAAATCCCTAACGTCCCAAAAGGCCCGTAGGCATTTAGGTAACGCACTAGTCTTTGGTGTTGCAGGTGTTCATGGGCGGCGCCGATTGCTTACCGTCAGTCCGTCTGTTTATGCCATAAAAATATCTGTATAAAATTATGAGATCACACTCACCATCCGCGGTAATCAGGCCATTATTTAAAAATTCCTTTGCAAAACCATAGATGTAAGGTTTACTATAGCATGCGTTGACTAGAGTAAGACAATCCTCTGGATCCGTGATAACTGAAATAGTACAATATAAATAAATATAACAAAAAAATATATTTCTAATATTTGCGGTGTATTTAAAATGACTTGAATAAATTATTAAAAACTCAATACATGTTTTTAAGCAGCTTAACCTTCTGGTAATGCGAATCGGTATAAGATAACTGCTTCAAAAGTGCTTGCTTTAGTAGCAAGATTGCATTTTACTCACATACATTGTAAGTTAAATAAAACCTTGTAATAGTTATCAGATTAAATTATATTATAGCGACGATAATTTATTTATGAGTTCACACTACTCAAATTATCGTAAAATTATTGATGGATAATCATTGAAAATTTAATGATACTAATATATTCTACTTCCCGTTTAATCCCCAAGCGGTCACCGCTGACCGCTCTCCACTAACTACATTATAGACCTTATTTCCAATGTTTAGAGACTACTTTTGTATAAACAAATTTAGGGAATGATTTTCAATAATTATCAACGGGTTAACGGTAACTGAAGCCAAAAATGGTGCTATAAAATAGTCATGCTAAAAGACGTTCTATTGAGTATGCTCAAAAATGTTCAAAAATCGAATGCATTCGTTTCGCAAAATGCCTGAAACGACCTAATTTTGAGCAACATTCCGCCACACATGGTACTAAGTGACAAATGATCAATTGCAGCATGCTTTTGTACTTGAAATTTGTATGTGTATCAGAACTTTGTATTTATAATAGGAAAATAATAATGAAATTTACTCACTATAATATATGTTTGGGCCAAACCATGCTTCAATTGCTCCGTCATGCTCGAGTGATGATTCGTTGACATGCCGTATAAAGCGCCAGAGATCTGAAATGTTATGTTCAACATAATGTTAATAAATGTAAGTATAAGCATTAATAATTAACTAGGTAGAGCTTATGCTTCAACTTATTTTTATTCTTAGCATTTTAATTTTTTATATTTTCTATTTGTATAGAATTTTAATTTTTTTTTTGAAAGTAATGCAGCATCTGCCTAATGTATGTACGTACATTATTTTTTGTATTAAGTAAGAGCTCGTACACAAAACTGCGATGCGATTATTAAATACTAGCTTTTACCCGCGGCTACGCTCGCGGCCAAAAAGGATAAAAAGTAGCCTATGTGACATATACTAATACATACAGCACCATCTATACCAATCCGTTTTTCCTCGGGAATATAATTTTTTTCCGGGTTAAAAAGTACCCTATTATTTAATCCAGACTTCTAACTTTACGTCTGCAAAAATTCAAAGCAATCGGTTTAGTAGTTACGGCGTGAAAGTGGAACAAACAAACAAACTCACTTTCCGATTTATAATATTAGTAAGAATGTAGGAACGACCACCGTGGGTAGTGTAGTTAGTGATAGTGATAACGCGCGTGCCTCAAAGAGCCATCAGACCACCACAGATGGGGCCAGGTAGGAACGGGGTGGTTATTAGTTAGTAATAGTCTGACACTCCCTCTCGCCTAACTCAAGGCGGGAGAAGTTATTGAATGATTTTCATCCCTCAAATAAAAGGGGTAGTGACAAAATAATAAGTACGGTGGCCAGCAGGTAAACATATCCTGTTCTGTCGAATATCTCTATAACATCTTTAACTTTATAGTCTTGAAATAAATTCGAAAATCCCATGAATAAATTTGATAGATTGGAGTAGGTTGCCGGCCACTGTACATTACTCTGCTCCGCCCGCCATCATTATTATTATGGCAACCGAAATTTAATGATATTGATAATAAAACATAAAGATTAAGCTAAACATATTTTTAAAATGCAATTCTATATATATATATATATATATATATATATATGCATATTTTATAATTTTATTTTTCTATTTACTCATTCACGCGAAAAAGTTTCACAAGACATGCGACATCGGAAAATATTTAAAAACGTTTTGAAAAATATACGATTTTAAATGACCCTGTGCTAGATTTTGCAACAGCATAACCATTACATTTTTAATTTATTTATGCATATATACAAATAACATAACGCCACGCCTTTTATCCCCGAAGAGGTAGGCAGAGGTTCTCATTACGGTACTTAATGCCATTACAATGTAACACCCACTTTTCACTATTTATATTATGGATCTTATGTAATAGGGGGTGAGCCTATTGCCATATACCGGGCAGAATTCCAGACTCAGTGCTGCCAATGCGATTTTTTTTTAAAACCAGTCGCGTTTTGCCCGACACGGGAATTGAAGCCGAAACCCCTACTTGCGATCACTCGGCCAACGAGGCAGTCATATACATAAATATTTTGCTTAACCCTTTGAGTACCGTCGTTATAGACACAATTAAAGAACAATAGGTTGCTTTCAACGGTGTCCTCGCGGTGTTTGACAGTTTAAAATGGATTATGATGACGTAAGTAATACAAATGGTTCCTAGATGTTTACTTCTCAAACATGAGGGTGAATTTCAGGAGTTCATTTCGAAACCTGGCAAGCACAAACGTGAAAAACAAAACTTTTTCAAGTTATAACATAACCACAGTAAAAAATTGTATTTATGAAGAGGATGTGACACAGGTCACATACCGAAAACGCTAACTAAAGTAACATCCAACATACTGCCGAATGTCCCAAAGAAGGCGACAGATTGTAGTAATAAATAAAAAAATTAAAAAAAAAGTTATAATATAACGTACACTAGAGTACAATTTATAACGTCTACTTTGACATATACAATAATCTATGGTGTCTAGAGAAAATTATTTCGTCAATCCCAATTTAAGTTAAGATATAAGATCTGTAGGGTAATCGCCTTTATATCTATACCTCTATATCTTTATATATATAATTCTTCTGTGAGTGTGTTTGTCACTGAACTTCTCTCAAACGATTGGACCGTTTTTGATGAATTTTTTTGTGTGTGTTCAAGGGGATCTGGAAATGGTTTAGATTCACAAATCAGCCCGGCAGATGGGGCTGCAGTCAGTGTCTTGTTTTTTTTTTTTTAAGGGGGGAAAATCATCGAATGACTGCTCCCGCCTGGGTGAGGCGGAAGGGAGTGTCAGACTCTTACTGACTAAAAACCACCCCGTTCCTTCTCCTGCACGTCGAGCCGGAGCCCCGGTTACTATTGAGCCCATCTGTGGTGGTCTGATGGCTCTTTGAGGCGCGCGCGGAACGCGACGCGCCGTACGCTCGGGTCTGTTTCTGGTCGGACGGGGAGCCACCCATGCTCGCCGTCTGCAGGCCCGCGGCAGTCGGTGTCTAGGTTAGTTATCCTAAACGGTTGAACTAATTTGAATGATTTTTTGTTTATACATTCAAGTGGATATGCAGGACAACGTCTGTCGGGTCCGCTAGTATACATATATATTTTTGATGAGCCGACGTTTGACCACTATCTCGCCTGGTGGTAAGCGATGATGCAGTTTACGATGGAGCACGTGGTCCCATAAGCAATCTATTTACTCTGGCCTTGAAGACACCCAGGTTATCCCCATATATACCCATCAGAAAATACAGATTCTGATAAAGAATTCCACTCCTTAGCAGTACGCACAAGGAAGCTTGATGCTTCACCTTTGCTATAAATTGATGAACGACGTAATTATAGGCAGTTATATTTATATAACAGTGATGAATAATATTATTTATCTTTTAAATCACTACACCAGTGCTTTCCTCTGTATCGTGGGTGCGTCTTACAATAAAATGCAGATCCCAACTAGACCCGGACTGAAATTTTGAGGACAAAAAAGTTCCCAAGCCGCTCTAAATTAAAAAAAAAACTCAATTTGACGACACTAATAATATGATTAGAATTTAAAAACCTGCAAACGGCAAGAACACACGGCTACACATCAATCTTTACACAACCAGTTTATCTTGGTGTCGCGTTGCATCATCTTTCCGCACATTTAACGTTCAGTTTATACTGGTTATGTAAAGCTCGATGTGTAGCCGTGCGTACCAATGTAACATTTTTTGAGTTATATCTACCTACTTTCTAAGATAATTAGACACCACCGACAAACAATGAAGGCAAACATCGTTAGGAAACTGAGGGTTATAGTTTCTACATTAGACCTTATTAAGGAAGTTAAGGTTAAGCAATTTTTGCGTATCAAAAAATTAATAAGATTATTTAAGTCATATTGCAAAAATATAATTAATACACACATAATTTTTTACGAGGTACTTAAATCTTACGGAAATATATACGTTATATTACTTCGCCAAAGAAAATCTGTATTTTATTTTATAAAGGGACAAAAGTATTTAATTTAAAAATATTTTTTAACTATATGTATATAGCTACAACGACTGAAATAAATAAAGGAAAAGAGAAAAAATAAACGATACACCGGAAAGTAACTATAATTTCACTCCTTTTAAAAAATTACTAAGCCATATTTAAATTACTCTTTAATAAAAAAGATGAAGGAAAACTTTAAAAAATCAACGTGAAAATTCTACTTACGTTTTCGGTCTCCGATTATGAGATGTGAATGTCCTATAATCGGGAGCGAGCCTGGCATCAAAGGAGGTGCATCAGGTTTCTGCCTGAACCATGTCGACCACACAGCTAGCACCACGAAACATAACAACACCAATCCCACTGCTATATACATTTCCAAAAATCAACAACGTTCTGAACCGTGTGAATTCAAAATCTCCTATTTATGCATGAATGATTGCTATCTACTTAATACGGCTCAACTGGTTTGAAAACCTTGACGTCAACATTTTTTTTTTTTTGTTCGTCATTTTATTGTCAAAATATATATTCATTTTTTTTGTAGAACTAATAATATTATTTATTAATGGTTTGGCAGGAGTAAATTTTCTGACATCACATTAATGACCTAGGTACACGTAAATGCCCACTTCTAGGGGTTTCAGTTAAATAAACTAAACGTAAAATAAACTATTTATTTTTAAAAATAACCGTCTTATTGTCTTTTTTTCTTCTTTGTTAACACATAGCAGGCAACCACTGTGTCGTTTGCGTCTTCCCCGTGCTAAAATTATTACACACGTCGTTTTTTTCTCACCGGTGTCGTCTTTTTTTTCAGTTCGGCCACGTATTGTTGAAAATTACGCTGTTCGTAAAAATTATTTTTGTTTTATCCCGGACGAGACCCCAATTTGTGGGGTCTAGGGGTTTCAGTTAAATAAACTAAACGTAAAATAAACTATGTATTTTTAAAAAATAACCGTCTTTTATAATATCATTAAATAGAGCAGCGTCTTCGCTTATCAACTGTCCGCCATCTTCCATCCATCTCAATCATACCCATTCATTCCGTCCGTTCGGATTCATTCACTCAACGTCCTACATTACTTCACCAAGTATTACACACATACCATCCCACATATATAACTAGGAAAAGGCATATTGGTACTTGCTATTTGTAGGTTTCGAGCCCGCACCCTCATGCATTAGACACGGGCGTTTGAAGCCTCCGAGCTGTCATGACATTTATTAATTCTCTGATAGAAATATTAAAATAAATAGAAAACGAACTAAATAAAAAAACTGCAACATAAAGATTACAACTTAGACTAGGTAAAATTTTCTAATCAAAAACATCATAAATAGTAATTATGCCGTCATATTTTTGGCACACTAAAAATAGTAGACTACATGGATGCACTAAAAGAGACTACATACCACTGATGATGAGGATGCTCCGTGGAGGAGCGAGACATATATCGAGTACGCTTCGAGTGGTTCTTTGCTACATGAGCATTATTTGCGGGCAGGAAGGCAGTGTTGCATATCGCATACTGCAGATTCATTCCAACAGCTGAATAAAAACGTAATAAATATTTTCCAAGTTGTTAGTGTAGCACAAATTTTCGCAAAGCAAGGCCTGATTCTATTCTATATACCTCTATATATAACACCGATGATGATTATACTTACAATATTGAGTGCACAGTTATAGTGGTGTCTGGGCAACCGAAGCGAGCAACTTGGTGTCGTCGACAAATTGTTGTTTCGGGTCTGGGTGTTATGAGTCTATGTAAAACTTGGTTTGTAAATTCATTCAGGACAGGAGAAAATCCTAGCAAGGTAATTTTTTTTTTATAAACAAGAGATTATGTAGACTAAATTATAGGTTCTTGTGTCACAAATCTTACACACACATTAATATAATAATGACATAGAAAATATCTTTTCAACAGTACTAATTCAAGAGATTCAGGAACGACCAGAAAATCTCCTTGCTGACTTTCCATCTAGAGGCAAGGCCTGTACCTATAGAAAGATGAAAATCGTATTCAGACAGAGGTTAACAGATGACGCTGACTATTGTGATATGAATCCGATTAAAATTGCAGGGAGTTGTTAGAATATCAAGAAGTCGTTAGGATATGCAGGTTGTTTTAACCATTTTATGAAATATTTAATCACTTTAAGAGGCTTACGTTCAGCAGTGAACATAAGTAATTAATTAAAAAACATCCCACTAATATTTATTAATCTATTCATCATCCAACTAATATTAATGCAAAAGTTTCTATGTTTGATACTCCTGCGCGTCAAAGGGCTAAAAAGATAGAAAGGAGTTTTGGAATAGGTATATGGTCTGAAATAACGATGAAGCTGCTGGCAGAAACTAGTATTATGTAAATGTATGTGATGCTTTATAATTTGACATTGACTGTTTTATCCATCTACCTATCAGTGATATTATGCTCATAAACATTGAAACAAATTTCATAGGAATACATAAATAATAGACCAGCTTCTTGCCCGGTGACCATTTTTAAAACCACCCAAAAACCAGTTACATTTACGTAATGAATAAAAAAAATCTAAAATTTTATTTTGACATTTAAAAAACTAATTTTGAGTCTTTATCTTAATATCCGCCAAAAAAACAGTATATTATTATGAACACATTATAACATAAAATTTTGGTTGAAAAATTAACCACAGTTTAGATTCATCACTTTGCATAGCTAGAATGATATCTGAGAAGAATATTTCGTTGAATTTTATATGAAACATATAAAGGCAAGGGCACAACGTTACTACTAATCATTTTATTACACTAATCTCATTTAGGAGATCATTTATAAAGGCCAAACGTGGTGTTGACTCGATTCTATGTTACATCATAAACGTGAAGGACGCCAAAGAAGTACCCAGCTACGCAATTGCGTCAGTTATACGCAAAAAAATCCTATTTTTTTTTTATGGCATAAACCGGTAATCTAGCAGACGGATCACCTGATGGTAAGCAATCAGCGTCGCCTATGGACACCTGGAACACCAAAGACGTTACAAGTGCGTTACCGGCTTTTTGGGGATTAGGAGTTTGAGGATCGTTGGGGATTCAGGGATTGGGGAAGGGGAGGGTAATTGGGCCTCTGGTAACTTCACTCACACGACGAAACACAACGCAAGCGTTGCTTCACGTCGGTTTTCTGTGAGGCCATGGTATCACTCCGGTCGAGCCGGCCCACTCGTGCCGAAGTATGGCTCTCCCACACTTCGACTACTATATCTACTCCTTTGGGGATCAGTATAAAAGAATTGATTTCACTACAGTCGTTTTTTTATTGAATAGCTCGGAAAACGAGCAGACGGATCACCAATAGACACCGGCTTATAGGTATTAGGAATTTGAGGATTGTAGGGAATTCAGTGATTGGGGAGATCAGGGAAGGGGAGGAGGGTAGTTGAGCCTCCAGTAACCTCACACAAATGACGAAACACAACGCAAGCGTTACTTCACGTTGGTTTTCTATGAGGTCGTGGTCGTCGCCGCTGATGCCTGTGTCAATAACCTTCTGTAACAGGGTATCCAATTTAACTATTTTTATTTATCTTCGTGTATATAAATTAACCACACAACACCAAAACGTAAACAGGAGTGTGGGACAGCCATGCTTCGTCACGAATGGCCGGCTAGACCGGAGTAATACATAGTAACCACCTAAACTTGGTCGGGTTACCACGGTCATTCTCTTCATAGCGACTTTAATCGTATTATCTCATTAATTATCCAATGTACTGAGCTGAAAATTTACGGATATATAACTGAACTAAACAACTAATTATTGGCATAACATTCAGTTCAAATATCCAATCCAGTGGCCAAATAACACCGCGCGCATCAAGGCCGTGCTCGTGAAGAACTCAATATGATCATAACTTGTTTAATACTTACAGGATACTAATGAAACTTCACATACATTTGAAGGCAGTCACAAGCTTTTAAATAACGTAAGTCTTTAGAGCTCCTATTGAGAGTGCTGGGACCAATTTAAGTGTTTTTCTATTTAATGAAATAACTTTTAAGCTATTTAATATTTTGGTTTTTTTATTGCACAACAAATTTGAACTAATTAATAAGAAGCCATGTACCAAATATGATAAGAATCCGCTTAACCATTTCAAAGATCTAGCAAAATCATAAACGTTACCCCAGCAAAATCTCGAATAACTTCGCAACTGATGAAAGAACAAATACAAAACAAGGCACAACATTTACTTCATCTAGACAACTAATTTTATAGCTAGTAATTATTTTAATATTCCCATTAGAAAGAAAAAGGTCTGGCTGGAGTAACGTTACCCCAGCAGGAAATGTTTTTGTGAAATAATTAAAAAACTATAAACGCAACAAATTTAAAAATGTGCGCAACAATTACAGAAGCCGGTCAACTAATTATCTATAAGATTCAAATGACCATTTTCGACAACATCTGGCCTGGGTAACGCACACCTTGCCCGGCAGTCGCACTTGCGACAGAGCAGTTTATACTGGTAACGTAAAGCTCGATGTGTAGCCGTGTGTACATAAAAAATAGATACCTTGTACTATCGGCAAGTCGATTAAAGAGTCGCTTCCATTCTAATTGAGCCTAAATGTAGGTCACTTCTAGTCCGGCAGATTTAGAGGTTTTAATATTTTTGATGCCTATGTTGAAGCAGTAAAAGTCTTGTATCACGCACGATAAAGACATAATGTGGAGTGTGGAGTGTGGAGCAAAATATGAATAAAAACGTAGTCGGTTAAAAAAATTATGACACGTGTTAAAATATTTTTTTACGAATTAAACATTTAAAGATTCGAAAGAGGCATACTTGTTCAAGGCCCTTTGGCCGATCACGGCAAGAGAAGCACGTGTTTGAATTGAAATCGAGGTATAATTATGTATTTATGTATTAAAAAACAAGATTTATGATTCATATTCTAAATTTCCTTGATTTAACTATAAAATATGCCTATTAATATGAATATTAATTAGCTTAGTAGTAACTAAATAAAATCATTTTGCGAGGGAGATTGGGTAACAGTGGATCATTTTTTTTTTCGAACCCCTTAAATTCGCAATTCTGGCCTAAATAATTCATCTCTGACAATTAAGGCTTTACTCATTTGTTCTTCTTGAGCATGAAGTCCAATGTAGGTTTACCTTGCTCGATTGCCAGGCATGTTTAGCTACAAGAAAGCACAAAACAATTTTAGTTTCACGGACTGGATCAAAAGTCCACTGTGGCCTAAACTAAAATGATTCATTGTGACCCATAGACCGTTATGACAAAAAAAAACGAAAAGTAAACTACCTATAATTCTGACAAAACTACACCAACCATAACAGCATTGAT